ACTTCATCCATGACGGTGTCTGAAGCACTGCCAGTTTCCTCCTTCCCATCGCTACCCTTGTCATGATCAAACCGAGGGCCGGTTGCATGACCACCCCGGCTGCCTCTCCGACCACCTTTGCGGCCTCGTCCCCCTCCTGGACCCTGTCCGGTTCGCATAACCCACGAAGCTCTCGGATCTTTGAAAACCAAAGCTGATGGTGGGTGAATTCCATGGCCATGCTCTTTGAACTGATAAGCATGCCACACACCGCACACCAATCCGGGAGTTTTTCATATTTGAGCCTATAAATATGGTGCTTCCCGTCCCTTATCATCAAGACAACATTCCTCAGTGGCTTGTTGACATTGATCCGAACCCATATCCGATGGAAATTTTCCATGAAATCTTGTGATTGTGGCTCGGCATATAGGACTTCTCCAACCTTTGCTGCTAAAGATGGGCATACAAGGGTGGCACATCATGGATTTGCACCCAAATCTCAATCATATCAAGCAGGACCGTAGATGGTTTAGCCAACCCATCATACGGTTTGAGTATCACAGCATCACCCCGGAAGTGCCACGGGCCATCACGCATTACTCTCTCCCAATCACCTAGGCAAGAGAACTGCACAGTGTATAGATTATCTTCCAGAGGTTTGAACTGCAGCTCCTGGGCTAGATCCCACGCAGCTCTCAATATTTTTGAAAAACCAATATTGGTTGTATGTCTTTGGCGAGTGAACCTTAGCCAGCGCTATCCATCGCGCTGTCTCATCCGGGGCCTCTTCTTCATTGAAAACCACGTCGTCTAGGTCCTCCACCCGCAGACCTAGTTCCTTCATCAGCACAATCACATCATCCGGATTCGTAGGTCCCGTACTCGACCCCGAAGCTCCGCCTGATGCCATGACTTTTCGAACCCTAACCCGATCAACAACGTATCGGGCCTTGCAGGAACCCTAGAAACCTCCTTCTCTCCCCACCCCGCCCAGATCGACGAGCCCTGGCGCAAACAATCGCGAGAGAAAGGACTAGGGAAGGAAGCAGGGTCAGGGAAAAACCAGGTCCCAACGGCGGCGACCGAGATCGCCCCGAGAGGAAGAAAACCCTAGTGAGAGAAAAAAAACCCTACTCCCGGTTCGTAAGTGAACTGGGACTAAAGGGTTTGGGCTTTAGTCCCGACCCTTTAGTCCTGATTTCTGAACCGGGGCTAAAAGGCCTCTGGAATCGGACCAAATGGGCCGTTTCTACTAGTGTATGGAGGCATACACGAACACAAATCTAAGGCTAGCACGAACACGAAAGAAACGCGAACACGAAACCGAGGCATACACTGATACACCAACGGCTAGACTCATATGGAGGTCTTTGTTTCACACAAATCTAAGGCTCGACCAACACTCGGTCTGACATTTTTTTTAAACTGTCCGTGCTGGTTTCAGAGCCAACATGTAGCTAGCTATAGTAGGATTCGAAATAGTGGCCGCCTCGGGTTAGCTAGTGTACTATATATACATCTAAACACACCGTGAAAATTGAAAAGCAATACACAAAGCACCAATTAGCCAGCTCTCGCCCCAAGCGTAGGCTTAGCTTCCGGCCGGCTACCCGTCGTGTACATACGTACGCTTCGTCGCCATTGCCGCACGTACTCGTCAGATTGGGCCAACAGCAGCTGCCAAGCTCGGAGAGAAAAACCTAGCTAGCGGCCACCATGGCACCAGGACCGCTGCCGGAGTATCATTTGAGAAAAAAAGGACCGCCGCCAGCCCTCCCGGACGAGCTCGTAGGAGAGATCCTACTCCGCATCCCGGCCGACGACCCCGCCAGCCTCCTCCGTGCGTCCCTCGTCTGCAAGTCCTGGAGCGAGGCCGTCTCCCAACGCTGGTTCCGGCACAGCTTTCACAATCTCCATCCATCACCCACCGTGCTCGGGGTTCTTCATGACTGGCACGATGAGGCCATCCCTACCTTCATCCCGGCCACCGCGTCGCCGTTCGCCCTCGCCACCCCCGACCGCTTGCTCTGGCAGGCCGTCGACTGCCGCCACGGCCGTGCCCTCTTCCTCTCCAAGGGTCGTACCGAAGAATTCATCGTTTGGGAGCCAATCACGGGTGCCCAGCACCGCGTAGCTGTGCCCTTGGCCTTCCAGTTCGGCCACACCACGGCAGCCGTGTTCTGCGCAGCGGACGGGTGCAACCACCACGAATGCCACGGGAGTCCCTTCCGGGTGGTCTTCGTTTCCTCCATCTATGACAAAGACGCTGACGACGACCCGTTTACCACGTCGGTGTGCGTCTACTCGTCTGAGGCTGCAGCCTGGGGAGAGCCGACCTTAATGCACCACGAATTCATCGTGGACTTCACATATTATTCCAGCGTGCTTGTTGGGAGGTCTTTCCTGTACTTCATGACATGTGGTGGGTTTATCCTAGAGTATGACTTGGCAAGACATGGGCTGACTTGGTTCGACACACCAGACTCTTGCTACTCTAAGGGTTGGCCCACTTGCAACCTCATGCTGGCGGAGGAAGGTGGACTGGGACTCATCGAAGAATTGGATCCCCATCTGCAATTGTGGTCATGGGAGGTGACGGATGCCCGATGGGTACCGGGCCGAATCATCTACCTGGAAAGTTTCTCCCTAAACGGTGCTCCAGTGAGTGCATCATGTCCGGCGCATGTGCTGGGCTTTGCCGAGGGAGCAAACACCATTTTCGTGACCATGGCTGCTGGCCTCTTCGCAGTCCTAGTACAATCAGGGAAGGCGACCAGGGTGTGTGATGATCATGGATACGGTAAGCTGATTCCGATCGTCGGCCTTTACACTCCTATGCCCCGAGGTGAGCACATCAGAAAATTGTCGGCTTCGAGTGGTCAGCTCTCCATCAATGGAAACTTCCCTGAGGGAGGTTAGGTTTGGGTATTTAGCTTGTGCCCATGGGATGGTTGATCCAGCTTGAAATGCATCACTACCACCTGTCAAAGACAATTCATGTTCTGCATACATCATACGCCTCCAAGGACTAGCTATCAGACATGTGTACATGAGTTAATTTGGAAGTGTGAGGCACGGGGGGCATATAGGCCTAGGGCGGGGATTTTTTTCAATGTTTCAACAGATTTGTATAAGGGTAGTGGAAAAAGATTGTCGGCGTGGACCTTTCAAGCTTTTTTTTTCTGCGGGGATGGACCTTTCAAGCTGTATTCTCATATAATAATAAGATATATGACCAGGCCTTGTACACAATTTAAATCCCTAGATTCCCTTTTGTGGATATTGGAACTTGTAAAGCAATTATTTTTCTTATGTCGGCATAGAACTTTCAGGCTTGTAACATAAAAGGAGATATATGGCCAGGCGTTGTCCACCATTTTAATCTGTGTAGGTTCCCCTTAAATTTTAGAACCACGATTTGGCATCGTTAGGTTGAAACAACGTATTAAACATTCCCATGAAGTTTATGTTTATCTTTTTTGTTAGGTTTGTGTGGCCATCACGACATCATGCCAACGGTGAACGAAGCATTGTACAGAATAAACATTTCATGATTCTTTGATCTTGTGTGGATGCCACATTCTATCTTTATATAGTCGTTCTTCTGGCTTCTATTTCCATGTGTTTGGTGTTCTTTCTGGTTTGGCAGCTTACCTTGCGACGGTTGCAACCAAAGATTTTATGTTCCCACTCCTTGAGGTGGGAGGAACATGAGGTTCTTTGAAAGCCTCGGAAGAGGTGTATTTGACAAATTTATGTTCTCACTCTTTTGATGAAGGCGCTGGCTACGACCTATATGCCCACGTCGGCATGCGTCTACTCATCCGAGACTGGCGCCTGGGGCCAGCCGACCTTAATGCGCGACAGATTCCTCATGGACTTCGAATACTTTTCGAGCGTGCTTGTTGGGAGGTCTTTCTTGTACTTCATGTCATGTGGTGGGTTGATCCTGGAGTATGACCTGGCAAGGCATGGACTGACTTGGTTCGACACACCAGACTCTTGCCACTCTAAGGGTGAACCCACTTGCAACCTGATGCTGGCGGAGGACGGTGGACTAGGACTCGTCGAAGAAATGGATCCGCATCTGCAATTGTGGTCATGGGAGGTGAAGGATGCCCGATGGGTGCCGGGCCGAATCATCTACCTGGAAAGTTTGTCCCTAGTAAATGGTGCCCCAGTGGGTGCAAAATGTCCGGTGCATGTGTTGGGCTTTGCCGAGGGAGCAAATGTCATTTTTGTGACCACAGCTGCAGGCCTCTTCGCAATCCAAGTACAATCAGGGCAGGCGACCAGGGTGTGTGATGATCATGGATATGGTAAGCTGATTCCGATCATCGGCCTTTACACTCCTATGCCCCGAGGCGAGCGCTTGCCGGCTTCAGGTTGTTAGCTCTCCTTCAATGGCAACTTCCCCGAGGGAGGTTAGCTTTGGAAGTTGCTGTTGAGTTGTAATAAGGTGACTGTCCTGTAGTACATGTAACGTGTGTTTCCGTTGTAACTGTAGAACCTAGTCTTGAGGACTGCTAGCTAGCTAGTCCTAAGGAACCTCCTTGATCTATGTCCCATCGCCCCTGTATTCATTGAATGTTCCCCTTGAGGGCTATGTCCTTCTAAAGTTTGGAAACAGCGTCATATTTTCTCAGCTTTGCATTCCAAACTATATTTTCGAATATATACGCTTACAGAATAACATACATGTTTCCCGAATTTATGACCGACAACGAGTATATATATACATGTTGTTCTGTCTTCAAATGCACATGTTCTAGAATAATAATATACATGCAAACATTTGGTCTCCATCTCGGTTGGCTGCAGTGTTCTTCTCCCTTCCTTCCCCAGAACTTCATGTTATGCATGCAACATTGATCGCTGAGGAATGTACCGATCGATTCACCGCATCGTTGTTTGGCCAACTAACTGGATGAAGAGCTCCAAGGCAGATGTCGCGACACCGCCCTTTTTGGTTCTATCTAGCCTAACCTGACCATCTTCATCTTGCTTTGTTGTTTCTTCTAGGTCTGGTTATTTCTCAGTGAAGACGGTAAGAGCAGCGATCTCCCGTATGCGACAGGGAGCGCCAGCACCTTCTTCGCCTTCCCAACATAGGCCCTCTTGGTGAAGTTGTTGTAGTCGTTTGCTTCGATCTCGTCGAGGATCTGCCGGTACAACAACTGAGAGGCCCAAACCTGCAATTGCAATGAAATTGAAAACCATATTATCACTCTACT